ATTTAATTTGCACATAACTTATTTATATATTACCAAAATGTATTGTTTACGACAACCATAATGTAACAGGAAATAGTCTAGAAATGTTTTCTTTTTCGTACATTTAGTAACATTCCTAACGATATTTGAAATCAGTGTAAGTTATGTCCAATTTTGAAACAGGCAAAAATATAAAATTAGTTATGTATGTATGTATATATATATATACTTTGTTTCAGCCAATGCTACACTATGGGCTATATTCGCTCTTTCCACAAGGAAACGTAGCCCTGGACTTCGGTGTTTTATTTTCGTAAACTTACTGCTGACCCAATGATGCAATATGTGGAGCCTCACGGTAATGAGTGTATGGTAAGTTGAGGGTTAAACGTAAACATAGATTAAAGAAGAAAATTATGTTTGTTTTTACACATTTTACAGCGTAAAGAAGAAGAAAATTTTACAAAATTTATTTCATAGTTTATGTAAAATGTTTTTATAATTGTACATGCAAACATATGTGTATAATAGTTACCATGGATTATGGTTGAAAATAGGATTTTGTAAAACACTCAGATAACTTCAGTTAAGTTTGTTATAGTTATCATAACAGTAATTTTAAACAAACTGTCTCAGCCTGAAAGTTAACTATATAGTTCTTACTTTACTCTCTGTGGAGCATTGTTAACAGCACAATTTAAAACGCAGTGTATTTTTATTTCCATTTCCACTGATTTTTACCCCCTCGATGACTCTGCCGGAAGGTTGGGGGGAAGGGGTTATAACCTTAAAATTCGGAGTTCGGAAGCCTATTCCGCAACTCTGTGCTTAACAACCAATAAAAAAAACAACAAAAAACACTGAAATATTACTGATTTTCTACCAGTAATTCTGTGTTATGCAGATAATAAATCCAACTAGTACTGTACTTTGTATACCAAGTAAATATAATTTAACGTTATAAGGTACTTTAGACTGAATTATAAAAACGTGTCTGGTATATGTTAATGTAGTGTTCCCAGAACACTTATTTTTATCAAGTAAATGTGACAACTGTTTTAATGAGAAGTTTGATAGACAATACACTGCTGATTGAACGTAAACCTTAATTTGAATGAATAAAGGGAAGATGCTGGAAAACAGTTTTTAAATAAACAAAAACATTTATTGACATACGCGATATATCAAAACACAAATATAATGTTCAGTCATAACAGCAGCGAGTCAGAGAGAGCTCACTCTATTCTCACAATTTGATAAGTTAGTCATATCTGAGACAGCAGCCGAGTCAGACCAGAGAGTGCTATCGTCCTTCGTTTTCGCTGACACATAATCAGATATGACTAACTTATCAAATTGTGAGAATAGAGTGAGCTCTCCCTGACTCGCTACTGTCTCAGATATGACTAACTTAGCAAATTGTGAGAATAGAGTGAGCTCTCCCTGACTCGCTGTTGTCTCAGATATGACTAACTTATCAAATTGTGAGAATAGAGTGAGATCTCCCAGAATACATTGCTACCCACGTCAAACGCTTACTCGAATTTAGAAAAATATGAAAGATTGTTTGTTTGTTTGACTGTCACTAACTGTAACACTCATGGCCCAAAATGTGGAGTATGATTGTATTTTTATTTATTAGTTGGTAATAGTAGGACACTAACTACAGAAACCAAAATCAACAGTCCAGTACGCTAACCATTGGGCAACGATCGGCCCTAAATTAAAAGAGAAATAATCATCTGGTATGTCACTCTTACCACACTGAAATCAAACCATGAACATTCTTATGGTTTAAACTTTATGAACGATACACTAATACACCAGAGTCATTATCCAGTTTTAAGAGACTAAGTTCAAAATAGTATATTTTAAATGAATCAAAGTTAAATGTGAAATTCACTGATTCAAGTCCGATTACCCTTTATTTTTGCTTGTGCAATATATCGATTTAAACAGTTATGTTACCAATATTCTGTACCTCGGTTACATTGTGTTTTTATATTATTTTCTTAAATATGTGTTTAAAGTTATAATTTAACGCTATTAAATTTCCTGGATCGAGTGATAAGTTGAAACTCGTTACCATAAAATATTGACATTTCAAATTTTCGATGGCTGGAAGAAATGTGAATCAAAAAACAAAATAATTTGTTATATTATAGTTTTCCTTACAGGGATATAATGATTTGCAAGATAGCAGAAAAAAAGCAAGTTTGTTTGTTTTTAGTTAGGACAAAGCTACACAACAAGGATCGAGCCTTAAATCTTAGCGTTATAAACTCCTAAACTTAGCGCTGAGCCACCGGAGGGCAAAAAAGAAAATAATCCAATTACTTCTAATACACATCCCAGTGGCACAGCGGCATGTCTGCGGACTTACAACGCTAGAAACCGAGTTTCTATACCCATGGTGGGCAAAGCACAGGTAGCCCATTGTGTAGCTTTGTGCTTAACTACAAACAAACAAATACTTCTAATAACGTTTTCTGAAACTTATACATTAAGAAATTCATTATATCAACATATATAATAAACAAAATTAAATGTTGTTCATTGGCGCCGCTACTCTGTAACTGTGAATACTTATAACGCTAAAAATTGGGTTTCGATGCTTGTGGTTAGCAGAGCACGGAATAATTTAATGATTAGTTTCCTGCTAAGCAACAAACAAGTCATTAATGCTATTGTTTGTTTAGTTGTTTTTGAGAACAAAGTCACACTGAGTTATCTGTTGTGTTCGTCGCGGGGAATCGAACCCCAGATTTTAGCGTTGTAAGATCGTAATATTACCGCTTCCCCACCGTGGGATGCTATGCTATTGCTGAAATAGAATTCTGATCATAATCACCATATAATAGCTTCTATCTATTTTGTTATATATATTCAGTAGTGATGTATCAAATACGAAGAAAGAATCCATCATTATATTTCATTTAGAATATTGTTAATTGATTTTATGAAATAAATGTTTATAAGTTGCTATAAGAATAAACACTGTACGTCACAAATAATTTCCAAATCGTAATATTCTTGCCTACGTCTCTGGAATAAGATTTTCAGGAAAAGCTTTTGTGAACATTTAACGTAGGAATAATATAATCGTGCAGGAAAATAATTAACATAATGATTTTATACACTCATAAACTTGATGTTAAATACGATTTTTGTAGAAAATAATCTTATTTATTGCTGTGTGTGAGTGTATACACTGCAATATAACGGTCGAACCATGTGTCATATGTCCAAGTAAACGCAATAGTCTAAAAACGTTTAACCACAAATCCTTAACCCTTGTTTTAACGATTCATTCGATGTTATATGGCGACTTATAGTACATAAATATATTTCAAGCACTTATCGACTCATCGCCCACTCAGATGTCCCTGTTGTTAAGATAAACCAGTAAGATGCAAGAATAGAACTAGAACATAATTAAAATGAACTACAAAAATAAAACTAAGAAAAAAAAATACAAAAAAAATGGAAACAGTCGTTAAGCTGGAATTTCGTCGCAGAATAATTAGATAGTTCAAATCAAATGTCATAGTAGATTTATTTAGTCATAAGATGGCGCTGTTCAAATTCAGCAGACTTTAATTATTCAATACTTTAGCCAGTTCGGTTTGTTTTTGTTGTTGTTTTTTTCGCTTTCAATTGATAACACACAATAAAATTTAGTCCATGTTCATATAAATTTTCAAAGTAAATCTAAATTTATCAATTCCATAAAAAACGCAGAGTTTGTAGTGTTAAAATTTAATATTTTAAGTTTTTTCGTATTAGTTTTAAATTCTCCGTACTAGAGATAGAAAGAGTGGATAAATATTTCCAGTACAATGTAAATCTTAGAGCACTTACGCATTTTTTACCAATACAAGTATCTTATTATATTTTTTTTACAGACGAAATTCCACTTTACTGTCTGGTGGCGTAACGAACTGATGTGACGATTACAGAACACAGTGAAAGTTTGTTTGTTTTTGAATTTCGCGCAAAGCTACACGAGGGCTATCTGCGCTAGCCATCCCTAATTTAGCAGTGTAAGATTAGAGGGAAGGCGGCTAGTTTATCACCACCCACCGCCAACTCTTGGGCTACTTTTTTACCAACGTTACTTTATAACGCTCCCACGGCTGAAAGGTCGAGCATGTTTGGTTGGGCGGGGATTCGAACCCGCGACCCTAAGATTGCGAGTCGAGTGCCCTAACCACCTCGCCATGTTGTGTATTCTCACCGCCAAATAAACTTTTTATAGACGCGTACAAGCCTTCAACTCTAAATCACTTTTATAACAAATATTGTCTTTATACATTACCGTAAGACCACATTTACATAGGGTTTGTCTGGTTAGTTGTTTTAGAGGATAGCCACATTGGGCTTTCTGCTGTGTCCACCGCAGAAAATAGAACCCAGGATTTTAGCGTTATATGTCTGTAAACTTACCGTTGTCTCACTGGGGTACCCTTTACGTAGGGATTTACGATAGTGTAGGTATACATTATTTATTAATTCTTATCAGTATATCAAATTATTTTAGTGTTTGACCTTTTGCCTCTACATTATCCCAGTTATTTAAGGTCAAAAAGGGAACTTTAACTAATGAATAGAATAATATCGTTTTGGTGATCTATTCAAAATTAAGTTTGTTTACCTGGTCATCACATTTCTGGTTTTCATGGTTTGTGAGTTGATTTGTGGAAATACGCGTCTGATGCTGAGATTACATCAAAATATGAGACCATTAACATCTGGTTCTTTTTATTCGTATGTTTAGTACACTTCACAGTTTTATCCCTAAAGATTTATTACTAACTTTACAGCTGTCAAATTATATATAAGTTGAGAACAAAGAGTCGTGTATCCTTCAATACTTGCTGTATTGTGTTCGATTTATTTTCCAAGTTAATTAAGTGTAGGAGGTTTCATGATCATCAAAGTTATCAATCTCTCTCTCTCTCATGCGTACTTGTTTTATGTAGTAGGCAGTTTATCCACTAGAGGGAGTGTAAAACATTTGCTCTCCTCCTCAATTCAAGGTGACAGATCATTAGTATTCCTTCTGTCAGAACTATTACTGTAAGACCGGCTGTAGGGAGTGCGTACTGTTCTTCTTACTTTAACCGAAGGTAAGGTGAGAATTTATTTGTTACGAAGTAATATACAAGGCAAGGAATAACCTATCAGTGATGACGACACATCTGGCTAAAAGTTTATTTCTCATATAGGTCAATGTCAATTTTTCAGATTTCGCTTTGTCATATTTATATAAATAGGTCATTCCTGTGTATCCGAGATGAATCCTGTGTCTGATGAAATCTTGTACTGTTTATTCCTTCTCTATGTTTTACTTGAAATACCCAAAGGTATTTTTTGCAGAACTGTTTCGCAGTGTAGTTAGGTGAGTTGTGGTTCTCGGCGTAAATTAAGTAAGTCACGTAAACGCCTATAGTATATGAGTTAAGTTTCAACTTCTACAATGGAAAACAGTTATAATGATGAAACAGTACGAACACTTCAGCTCAGCATTGAAGTTAAATTTTACAGGACGAAGCAGTAGTAATTCTATAAGAACACTCCAGTTTAGCAATGTTATTAAATCGTATAGAATAAGGCAGTAATAAACTGTATGAACGCTCCAGTTTAACATTGTGAATTAAATATTATAGAATAGGGCGGTAATACGCTGCATGAACACTCCAGATTAGCAGTTTGATTAAATATTATAGAATAGGTCAGTAATAAGCTGTATGGACACTCCAGTTTAATAATGTGAATTAAATCTTATATAATAGGGCAGTAATACGCTGTGTTAACACTCCAGTTTAGCAGTGTGATCAAATCTTATATAATAGAGCAGTAATACGCTGTATTAACACTCCAGTTTAGCAGTGTGATTCAATATTATAGAATAGGGCAGTAATACACTGTATTAACACCCCAGTTTAGCAGTGTGATTAAATATAATATAATAGGGCAGTAATACGCTGTATGAACACTCCAGTTTAGCAGTGTGATTAAATATTATATAATAGGGCAGTAATAAGCTGTATGAACACTCCAGTTTAGCAGTGTGATTAAATATTATATAATAGGGCAGTAATAGCTGTATGAACACTCCAGTTTAGCAGTGAGATTAAATATTATATAATAGGGCAGTAATAAGCTGTATGAACACTCCAGTTTAGCAGTGTGATTAAATCTTAGATTATTACGATGTACAAATGCTTCGTGGACACGTTATTTTTAACCATTAATAATATTTATCAACACTTTAACTCAACCATTTGATGGTAGATTTAAACTTGGTTACAAAGGACATCGCGACAAAATTCTGGACTTTCTTCAAGGTATTTAATTGTAGTCCATCCTCTCGACACGTAAATATGGCGCGAAAGTGGAAAAATTTGTTTTACTTACTTAGAAATATAATTTTTTTTTGCATTTATACGTTTTTTATACAGTGGGAAAAGTGTGACATTTATTTTTCAATATTGCTCTTGTCACAAATTCTTTGACAACTTTCTGAAAACTTGACTTTCTTGCAACATCTCTTGCTGTAGAAAGCGTAGCCAACTCTGTGAGACGTTCGTAAGACCTCAGATAAGTTTTAATTGATTTCAACTTTGAGAACTTTCAATAGATGCAACGGTCACTGCAGCAGTAAATAGAGACTAAGAGTGGTGCACAAAGTTAGATATAATGCAGCGAAATAACTTTAGAACATATGTTTATGTGATGTAATCTTTAATAATATTTAGTATGATTTGAATATAAGAAACTGTCATGTTTCCAGTGTTTAGCATGTGTTCTTATTACACAGACATATTGTGGAGAAGAACTTATTAATTTAATGAAATACAAGCTTCCCTTTATTTGTGAGAAGACAAGATATAATACGAAATCAACTTATTGTTGTATACTTTGGATTTCAAAATCAGTTCAATGCATTGACCACGTAACTAATTTTAAGCAAGAGTGATTCTTTGTTTGTTTGTAATTAAGCACAAAGCTACACAATGAGCTATCTGTTCTCTGGCCACCACGGGTATCGAAACCTAGATTCTAGCGTTGTAAGTCCACAGACATGCCGCTGTGCCACTGGGGGGGGGGGCGAGTGATTCTTTCAAGTATAGATCTGTGGTAACTTATGTCTGGTCCTGTTCATTTCTGATACACACACACATATACATATATATGTGTATATATACCAAGATTATGCCAGATACATGTCCAGGTCCTGATTGGCCACGTGGAAAGAAACGTTAAGTATCTTTCTTTTTACAGTAACTTATCATAGATATCGCAGAAATTATTCAATTTCGACTAATGAAAAGAATGACTTGAAAGTTGTGAAGTACAAAGTATGTGATATCAGATTTGAAGCGGCCTCCAATATACCACGTAATTATGTTCTTTTATATCAGAAGTGTGAAAGATGTACCGCATTTTTCGGTGTATATGACGCACTTTTTTACCCCAAAATTTGATGTCAAAATCTGCTTGCGTCCTATACACCGAAGGTATGAATAATATATATGTATATATACGATATACAGAAGCCATGTGTAAATATATTTAAATAGGCATGCATAGTTTAATTCAATTGAATGTGTTATTTATAACAATAGTAGTTAACTATTTATAATGCTCCCTAAGTAATAAAAAATAAATTATAGTAATGGAGTTTGTAAAGTTAGTATAGTAAAGTTTTCCCAAAAACTTTGTCTTCAAGATAAGGGTGCGTCTTATATTCCGAAAAATACAGTAGTTGACTCACTATTTTCGTGACGACGAGAGGCTTAGATTATATTCAGTATTTCATGTAATCAGTTGTCGAGAGTGTTAGAGACGTGTGTTCTTTCGAGTTTCCATATAGCTAGCGTACGTTAAACCTGACAAAAAGGAAAATAAAACCATTTGTCTGCGTACACATCAAATCGAAACTGAAAATCGCTTTACATTTGTTTCTTCGTATTTCAAATAGATTGTCCGACTATACGGTTTACATAAATAAATCACTATCATCACTGCTACATATTTTTGAAATTTTTGTGTGAGCAAAACAAGTTTCAAAATGCCATGCATTACTATTACACAGGCCTGTAAACTTCATAAAAGTTGTTTTGGTTTTAATAACGGATTTTCCATAATTCAGCTACGCAGATTTCGAAAATAATATTTATTTTTTCTATCACATAAGAATTTTTTTACAAATCGGGAAGAAAAAAAAACTCATATTT